ATTCTATTCTATTCTATTCTATTCTATTCTATTCTATACATCACGGCCTTGAAAACCCGAGTGAATTTCAAAATATTTCACGCAAGAAAGAAATTGTAAAAGATTTTCGCGAAAGGTTATTTATCATAACAGCACCGTCAAACAGTCGTCTTCCATTGACTGAAAAACATGCACCGCAACTTTACTTAAAGAATAAATACGAACCCAGTGAAGTTCTTGAAGTAACACTCGACTATCTTGAAGAACAACTGAACGATTTGAAGCTACAGGCGTTGAACATCGAACAAGAACTCGCTTTGATTAAAGCGAAGACTGAGAAGATGAAATCTGGGATGAAAGAGATTCTGAGCATAGCTAGATGAACATCGGAGTAACTGATGTAAATCATGTACCTCTAAGGTGATAAATTATGTGATGTATATCAACCATGCAGTTTTCAGTTCTAAGACAAAAGATCTCATTTCTCAGCACAAGAAAAAGGAAAACCTATATTGTTATGAACTAACATTTGGTGCCACAAAAACCATCTTTCAACTGACGAAAGAAAGACACCAAACAATGAAGGTTTTTTTTCATCGACAGTTCTCGAACTTTAGTTACGTTATCTGACAACTGGCTGACAAAAGCTCGTTAAGCTTAAGTGAAAGACGATCAGCCTCAGACGTGTCTAAGCAAGTTAATTTAATTCTAACAAAACTTTATAAACTAGATTTTAGATTTAACCGTTATATTCGGAAGACAGCATCTGATAGGAACTGGGCTTGTGGACGTCTACAAACAAATGGTACTATTCTTAATCGTTACATGTTACCTCCATTGCCGCCATGTTGGTTGACGATAACAAAACATGCCTCAGTATCTCAGTCTCTTGTTAGATCAAGCAACATGGTGGCCGTTTTATTGCTATTTGTGTCTTGAGGTATTTTGAGTCATGCGAAAGGAAGTGGCATCACTAAGCAAGTTTAAAAAGGTCCTTTTTAAGGTATCATGAAGGGATTTGGTCCCTCATAGACACAAACTTTGAGGTAGCGCGTATAGGGGTCCAAATCTCTTACTGATATCTTGTAGTTTCACTTTTAATTTTAAGTGATATTTATCTAATTTTACACACATTTTTTTCGTGCTTTTAATTCCATTTTTATCATATATTGATTATTCATTAGAGTACCCATATTTGACGTCGGTAGTTTTCTTTAAATTTGAAAGCTTCTGCAAATAGCTTGGTGAAGTAGTATACCTCATTAGAGGAGTATTATTGTTATTGCTACTATTGCCCAAATTGCATCGTCCCGCAAAATACCGTAAGCAATATGGGTTGCCTGTTGACACCACTTTCATTTGATGATACAGACACTTAAAGCAATTTTAATTATTGGTATTATTATTATTATTATTATTATTATTATTATTATTATTTTAGCTTTAGACTTAAAAAAACTGATGTGAAAGTAAAGTGTGCGAGGAAAGAGTAATACTTTCGAATTCATTCTGTAAAAAATAATAAATATTTATTAAAGAATAGGTGAACGTAATGTTCATATACATTTTCAATGTGATGTTAATGTGCCAGCCATTTTAAAAATAGGTAACTGCTTTATTCAATTATTCAATAGATTTCTGGTTTGCGATTTAAATAACGATCGACCAATCAACGAATTTCTTCATCGTATATCCACCTATATTGGTGTAAGAGAAACAGTATACTTGCATTTTAAGCCCGTCAGCAGTCAAACAGTAAATCGAACAAACATGTCTACAGAGCCAGTATGCGTTCAAGACATCGAGAATCTGGCCAAAATCAAACTGGACAAAAAATATGTTATTTACTTTGAAACTGGTGCAGACGAGGAAGACACGCTCAGGGAGAATCGTAAGGCTTTCCAAAGGTAAGAAGAATAAACTGAGTTGCATGTCTACGTATGTCTACGTATACCCAACTGTTCTAAAAAGTAAAAAGCTCTCTTTCAGTCAGTGTTTGCTGTTGACACCAAGATGTTCTACTCTTGTCGAATCGCTAGTGAACTGAACAACATCAGTAGTATTAACGAACAATTTGCACACATTTTAGATTACTGTGCAGCTAATAAATTGACTGTTAATTTTAAAAATACACATTATATGATTATTACAGCCACTCGTGAAAAATAAATAGTTATACCAAGTATGATTACTAATACGAAAACGAGAACGATAATTCTTTAACTTTTAAAGATTGGCACTGTCATTTCGTAGTCGTGGTCTTGTATGTAGATTGAAACTTTAGATCGTAAAAGATCGGAAATCGCGTGCGATCGATCGACTATGATTTAGTGTTGACCACACACAGGACCAATTTTTAAACTCGTGCTCGCCTTGTTCTCGTTCTCGTCGTTGAAACGAAAGGTCCGCACTAATTTCACTTCGTAGAAAAATAGTTCATAGGCGAAAATATAGTGCAGAGACTGTCAATATGTTGAATATTGAGGTTTTCTTATTTATATATCATTTAAAACACTCATTAATAATTCATAAGCTTATGGTCCAATTGGAGCCACCATACACGTCACGTGCATGAACCTTTATACCCGATAAAGTCCTCTTCATTAGTATTCAAGTGATTTTAAGACACATGTGTCTTTATATAAAGACACATGTGATCTTTATATAAAGACCACTCGAATACTATGAGGATGACTTCATCAGGGATGAAGTATGCATCCAAGTTTAGATGAAGACATAGAGCTTCATCAAGGTCATAGTCAACCCTAAAGATCTTTGACTAACGTGCCTGTCTTTGCCTTGGCACGCAATATCCAACGTGTGGGAGCTTCTATTGAATCTGGTTGTGCATGCCCGTGACGTCAAATCTCTATCGAAGTATAAAAATCCATGGTCGTGACGTGTATGGTGGCTCCAGTTGAACCAAATTCTTATAAATTGTTCATGAGTGTTTTAAGGAGTTCAAAAAACTCGTAGATCGTGTTTTATCAGGTATAAAACTGATAAAACCCTGATAAAACACTCCTAATCGTTTTTTAAGCACTACATAAAAAACTCTACCTCGTAATAAAAATTGAGTATTTTTTGTAGTATGTTTAATTAATGGCATCGTCCATCGTGGGAAAGAGCTAGGAATCTCGCGGGGTTCAAATTATTTGCAAGAAATGGTAAAGTATTTTTGGGTATGTTGTTAAATTTTCAAGGATCAAGATGAGACATCGCGGGATATTACGAGGGATTTCTGATGCAGACCTTTCCACCACCATCATGCCAATATGTATTGCACCAATAGGCAATCAAAAAATGGCTCGTCCTGACGGTAATTTAGCTACAGTCAGAGGTAAAATGAATAATAAAATGCACTGGAATCAGTCATTTATACTAAGGACCTACCCATATAGAGGCCTAGTAGGGAACGATCACTTGGAGAAGAGTTGTCTCTAGCATGCCCGATCCAAATCATATCAACCTCCCAATCATCTATAAAATTACAAAACTATAGGCCATGGTCCATCATGCTTTTTGGGAACCATGTTTCAAAAGGTACAATTGGATAAAATAAAACAAAACCATGATCTAGAGTAATAGCCTATGCTTTTGAGGTAAAAATGGCCAAAAATGCCCTATTGCATCCTTCATAGATTGTGCATCATGCTTTTTCTTTCGAAAAAATGGCCAAAATCGAACAAAAGCATGGGTTATAGTCCATGCTTTTAGGGTACGAATGCCCAAAAATTGCCTATTTTGCATCCCTCATAAATAATGCATTATGTTTCAGAAGGTA